CCATGCTATCATTTAAGAATGAGCAGGGGTATTTTCATGATGGTAAAAAATTCCTCAGTGCAACTTTCCTTACCTTTTTCTTACCAATGCAGTTACTTTAAAATTGTATTAGTAAGCCCTTTGTTTCCCAGTGTCCTTTAACAAATTTATCAAGATTACCCATTTGGAATTCACCAAAATCAAAAACAAAAAATGACATAATCTTCTGAGTTCAACTCTCTGCCTTGAATTTAACCTACCCAGCACACTTCCTCAATTAAAATAAGAAAATACATAGCACTATAAAGGGAGAAAGAATTGATGTGAAGCGGCATGGATGTAGTGGATACCCAAACCCATCTGTAAGATAATTGGGCAGTCCCTCTCAGAAGGACCAAACAAAAGGGATAAACCCAAGGTACAGTATTGTACTGATAAACACATAACTATTCTCTATTTCTTTAAAATTTCCTACTCTTACTATTATGGTTTTTGTTTTACCTCATTAATCATGTTAGATTTGTATATGTTAATTTGTATATTTAAGATCGTTCAATGCATGAAAACCAAGATAGATAACACTTCAGACACAGTAACAGGATTAATGGTTCCCTGAGGGTGTGGGAAGAGAGTGCGGAGGGGGGAAATAGAGAGCTGATAGCACTTATGACTACATAACCCTACTCAATGGGATGAAACAACAGAATTGTATGTGAATAGATATACTAGATGTGTAAAATACGGCCCCAAAAAAACCTATCATAGGGGAAAAATAAGGGTTCTTGTGGGGTAGAATGGGGAAGGAAGGGGGAAAAGGAGAGCAGATATCAAGAAGTTCAAGAAGATATATAATGTTTTGAAACTGATTTTCATAGCAATTGTACATTACTGCCTGATGTAATTGGATTATGAAATGTTAGGATATCTGTAAGAACTCCCAGTAAAAGGATTAAACATTTTTTTTAATTTTTAAATAGAGGAAGAAAGAGCTTTTAAAACATAGTTCACTAGAAATAAAGTATAGAAATGCTGGGATGAATTATAATTCAAAAGCATTAACTAAATGCAACTACAAAGTAAATAAAATCCAATGCATCACTTTTATTTCTACAAGAGCAAATTTTTAAAAAAATAATAAGCTGAATCTTTTCTAAGCAATGTCGTTGTTAACTGTTGTCCAGTCACCATGCACTGTGGCAATCTCAATGTTCAAAGAACTGTTCCCAGGTTCTACATTATCCTAATGAGAGGTTGCTGTCAGACAATTTAATTCGCTGATTTTTTAAGTAGGTCTTATGCAATAGATTTGCCCGATGCAATAAGTCATTCGAGTTCTTGGTTGCTATTTCCATGAGCATTAATTGTGGATCCAAGTAAAATGAATCCCAGACAACTTCCATCATTTGTCTGTTTATCACAATGTTGTGTCTATTGGCCCACTATTTTTATTTTCTTAACACTGAGTTGCAATCTATACTGAAGGCTGCAGGGGTTTTGTTTTCTTCATTAGAAAGGGCATCAAAATAAAATGTTTTAAAAAAAATTAAAAAAAAAAGGGCATCAAATCATCCTTGCTTTCTGCTAGCAAAGTTGTATCTTCTACATATCAAAGATTGCTAATAAGCCTTCTTTCAAAACTGATGCTAAATTCACTTTCATCTAGTCTCCTTTCTCAGATTATATGCTCAATTTGCAAACTGAGTAAGTATGATGAAAGGATCCACCCTTGATGCATAACTTTCTTGATTTTAAACCATGCAGTGTTCCCTTGTTCTGTTCAAATGACTACTTCTCTGTCTATAAACAGTTCCACATGAGCACAATTAAGTGTTCTGGAATTCCTATTCTTCACAATGTTAACCAAGCATACTTATTTTTATGATCTACTCAATTGAATGCCTTCACATAGTCAATGAAATACAAGTAAACATCTTTCTGGTATTATCTACTTTCAGGAAAGATCCATCTGACATCAGCAATGATATCCCTCATGCCAAGCCCTCTTCTGAATCTGGCGTGAATTTCTGGCAGCTGGCAAGATGCCGCTACAATCATTTTTCAAATTGTCTTCAGTAATATGTCACTTGAAGGTGATATTAATGATACTGTTCCATAAGGATCACATTTTGTTTGGTTAACCTTCTTTGGAATGGCCATGGATTTCTTCCAATCAGTTGAATAGGTAACTGTCTTGCAAATTTCTCAGCTTACAGAAGTGAGTGCTGCTAGTACTTGATCAACTTGTGGAAACATTTCAATAGGTATTCTGTTAATTCCTGGGTCCTTGTAGTTTGCTAATGCCTTCAGTGCAGTGCGGACTTCTTACTTCAATACCATCAGTTCCTGACCAGATGCTACCTCTTAAAATGGTTGAATGTCAGCCAATTCTTTTTTAGGACAATGATCAGTGTATTCCTTCCATCTCCTTTTGATGCTTCTTGCATTATGTAATATTTTGTCCAAAAAAATCTTTCAATATTTCAACATAAGTCTTGAATTTTATCTTTAGTTCTTTCTGCTTGAGCTAAAGTGAGTGTGTTTTTCCATTTTAGCTTTCTAACTCCAAATCTCTGCACATTTCATTATAATATTTTACTCTGTCCTCTCGAGTTGCCCTTTGAAATTTTCTGTTCAGCTCTTTACTTCATTGTTTCTTCCATTTGCTTTAGTTACTGTATGTTCCAGATCAAGTTTCAGAGTATCTTCTGACATCAACTTTAGTCGTTTGTCTTATAATGACCTTTTGCTTTCTTTGTGTATAACATGTTTGATGGCATCGCCTAGCTCCTTAGGTCTATCAATAGTGTTCAATATGTCAAACGTTCTTGAGATGTTCTTGAGAATCAAGTGGGACAGACTCAAGGTCATATTTTAGCTCTAATGAACTTGTTTTCATTTTCTTCAGCTTCAACCTGAACTTGCGTAAGAGCAATTGATGGTCTGTTCCAGTCAGCCCTTGACCTTCATTTGACTGGTGATATTGAGCTTCTCCACTGTCTCTTCCCACAATGTATTCAATTCCATTCCTATGTATTCCATCTGGCTAAGTTCATATGTATATTTGCCATTTATGTTGTTGAAAAAAGTTATTTGCAATGAAGAAGTCTTTGGTTTGGCAAAATTTTTATCATGTGATCTCCAGTATCATTTCTACCATCAAGGCCATATTTTCTAACTACTGTTCCTTCATCTTCATTTCCAACTTTTGTAATGCAATCACCAATAACAATCAATGCATCTTAATTGCGAGTGTGGTTAATTTCAGACTGAAGATGTTGGTAGAGTTCTACAATTTCTTTATCATTGGCTTTAGTGCAACCACTAAATTTGTCTGTAAATTTGAATAATAGTTATATTAACTTCCCTGTAGGATACCAGATACTATCCAAACAAGGCAACACTGTACTTCAAGTAAGATCTTGAACTGTTCCTTTTGATGATAAATGTGACTCCATTCCTCTTGTATTTGACTCCATTCCTAGCATCATAGCCAAATGCAAGCCTCCACGGGCATGCTGTACATGCTCTATAGGAGGTATACTGTCCAGAAATTGAGCCCAGAGCTCCCACAGGAAGACGGGAATTTAACCACTGAAAGATCAATGTCCCCCTTTGCGAAGCATACAATATTAACAATTAAAGTTATTTTAATTTATTCATAAAACATTTTTTTCATAACCACATCTAAATGGTCTAAACCCATGTGATAAAGCTAGCATGATAATTTATCCTTGTATTTATATTTGAAACTCTGTTTTACAGCACCTATTGAGACCTCTCCACAACATTTTCAAATGTTATTCCTTAATTCCTTGTTCAATTACTTGTTTAAATGAGTTATAGTCATACACATCTTCTATTTGAATACAGAATCCCTAACTAATCACAAATTATCCATGCTCCTCAAAGGCTTGTTTATATCTACTACTTTTTTTAATTATCTTCAACAAAATTTTCCTGTGTGTGGTAATATGAGAAAGGTAAGGAAGAAAAAGGCACAGGAGACTAGGAAAATGATAGCTTTGCATTGAGAATTGAAAGATGAGAAGGATTTAGCCAGGAGAAAAGCATTCCAAAAAGGAGAATTTGTTTGTGACATTAATATTTGAAAAAAAACAAAGGGAGAAAAAAGGAGAACAGGAAGGAAGAATTCAATCAATAAGGGAAAGGCCAAGGAAAGCGAGCATTTCAAAAAGTGAATATTCAGTTACCGAACAGTGGCAAGAAGAGGTCTAGTGATGACTTTAATTGACAGCGCTGTGCACTGTAAGATCTGATGACAACTTGCAAAGTAATTCCAAGGTAAGGAAGTGGAGATACTACTTATCTAATAGTTAAATTTAGCTAGAGAACTTCAGTAACCAGACAAGTGATATTGAACACAGTATCTGACCATCATGAGAATCGAAAGCCAGGGAATGCACTCCTCACAAAGCTGAACTGCCTGGGCACATAGTAAGTTCTTCGTTAAACTGTATGTGTCCCAGTGCGGGAAGGGGCTAGGTCTGCTTTATTCATTGCTGCATTCCTAGGACCTAGTACAGTGCCTGGCAGAAAACAGGAGCTCAGTAAATATTTGTGAATAATCTTAAAATGATGTAGTGTCCACCTTACTTGTCTCTCTTCCCCAACCCATTTTGTTTACTTACTGCGGGTAAGCTGTGCCAATTAAATAGAAGGGAGGCGGGGGCGGGGGGCGTGAACCATTACTTTTATGGTCATTACATCTTGCAGAACTTGCCAAACTGTAAGTTTCTTGAAAACTAAACACGTGATCTGTTTATGCCTGGTCACGCTCAGTGGCTTGCAAGACCTAACGATAAATAACCACGACCATGCTTACTAAAAAGCTGTGCCGGGCATTTCACACACCCAAAAACTGTAATACCCACTAGTAGACCCCACCTCCGAGTGCCAAGCTGCCAAGACTGGTGCCGCGGCCGCCACATCGGCAGGGGGCGCCGTAACCTCCTCCGAAGGCCCGAGCGGGCAGCAGTCCCCGCCCCCGGTCCCGCGGTCACCTGCAGCGGCTGCACTCAGGCCTCCGTTCGGCGGGCTCCACTGGTAGCTTCCACAGCCCGTCCGCACTAGCGCCGTCTGCCTCCGAACCCGGAGTAGCCACCTCTGGCGCCGCGCCGCCCTCCCGTTCCTCCTCCTCGTTCGGGATCTGACACCTCAGTTCCCCAGAAAGCCTCGCGACGTGGTCCACGGGAGTTCGCGCCTCTTTCTGCGACGCCATGACAGGCACTCAGGTGCGGCCGTCGCATTGAGGTGCCGTCGCCGCTTGGGGGCGCCAAGGACCGGCGAAACCAGCCTGTTCCGCACAGCGTTACGCACGCGTGCTACGTCAGGAGGGGGCGGAGTCCCAAGCTCGAGGTCCCGCCTTGCTGTAGATTAGAAACAAGCTCCATATTTCACCTAGAAGCAGGAAGGGAAGTACGCCTATGTTGGGGTCCAAGTAATGAAATGTATCAACACTGGGCCAGGAAAGGGAATCCTCCCAGACGGCACTCCGGATAACAAACCTCAGCATGACTCTCTTAATAAACCCCTTAAAAGGTGAAAATAAAATGTAACATTGCATGTTCCGCCTTGGAATGGCAATTTAAGGAACTATTGTGTTCGTAGCAGATGTCCCACTGTGAGTGCCCTAGGAATCTCTAAGGAACGGGTTCTCTGGACAGTTCCTAGTCAAAAAGATAGGCTGTACTAAGTAAAACTCGATTGACAGCTGGATCGATTTCCTGATGTAAATTTCTTGCTCTGGAGGGACAGAAACCTGTCTTGTATTTCTTCTCTAAATCAAACACCATGGTTTAATACACACCAAACATATATTAAATGAAAGTTTTGAAATATACTTTGGATACTTACTGAGTGTATAGTTATTGAGTGTGTACACAGCAAAAACATAGTCCAATTCAACAGTTTCTACACTTGCAATTCAGTAACATTGATTAGATCCCTCCAAGTTGTTTCATCATCCTCACCTTTCTTTTAATCTTATTAATGGCTATTCTTCCACCATTAACATGACTTCACTGGAGTTGCTGTTGTCAATTTCATCTCATGGGTAGTTCTTAAAATGTCTTAAAAGTTTTTAATTTTGACAAAATAATAATTTATAAATTATCAAGGGTTCATGAGGGAGGGGGGAGCAGAAAGGGAGGGGAAAATGAGCTGATGGCAAGGGCTTAAGTAGAAAGCAAATATTTTGAGAATGATGAGGACAACGAATGTACAAATGTGCTTGACACAATTGATATATGTTTGGATTGTGCTAAGAATTGTATGAGCCCGCAACAAAATGGTTTTTTATGTTTTTAATTTGTATGAGATTCCCCCTTATCTATGATAACCATCTTTTGCTGTTTGCACTTTTGTTATTAGACATTCCATTGTTAAAAGCTGGGTCCAAGGGCTCACGTAGAAAGAAAATGTTTTGAAAATGATGATGGCAACATATGTACAAATCTGCTTGACACAATGGATGGATGGATGGATGGATGGATGGATGGATGGATGGATGGATGGATGGATTGTGATAAGAGCTGTAAGAGCCCCCAACAAAATGATTTAGAAAAAAAAACTGGGCCCAACTACATTGCCTCTTCAAACATGAATAAGGTTTTTAGATTGTGTAATCTTGAAATCAGGAAACAATAGGAAGTCTGGGATAAAGTACAGATTTATAGGTGAGAAAACTTACCCTTTGGTATGTTAACCTGTGTTGCTTAAAGAAATCAGTGACACGTCTGTTTCTTGTGTTAGGTAGGGTTGTCTAGAAAAACAAAACCAGTGATACTCATATATGTATACGAAAGAACTTTATATCAGGAAGGCATCCCAACCCAGTCCAACTGAAGTCTTGGGTCCAATACTGACAGGAGTCCTTCTCATATGCAGCTATAGGCAGAAGCAGGAAGCAGAGAGATCACAGGTCAAGGGGCGTAGAGTCTGGGGGATTCAAGACCTGTGAAAACATGGCAGGGCTCCAATCGCTTCCATGGGGTGCCCCTGGAGGCAGACACAGAAGCAAAGAGAAAGGTGAAGGGCAAGAGAGACAAGTTCCCCTGTCTCTCTTATAAATAGTCCATACCCCAAGGAGGTATCACTGTGCTGTGACCTGATAGATAGATTAGATTTCACCCTTACACTTTCATCCAGGCACAATCTAACCACCATACTTGGAAAGGGAATTATGATGCCTAGCCTCTAGATAGCAGCAATATTGTCCAGTGTTTTGAAAGATAGAATGAAGTTCACACTGAAATGAAGGCCAAAATGCTACTTACTCAAACTATATGATGATTCCTTTTCATTTATTAATGCTTAAGGAACCCTGGTGACATACTGGTTACCTGTTGGGCTGCTAACTGCAACATCAGCAGTTTGAAACCACCAGCTGCTCCAAGGGAGAAAGATGGGACTTTCTGCTCGCTTAAAGAGTTACAGTCTCAGAAACCCACCCAGGCAGTTCTCCTGTGCTGTTGGGTCACTGTAGTCGGCATGGACTTGATAGCAGTAAGTTTGGTTTGTTTGGCTTCGTTGCTGAGGCAGTCCTACTTATCCTATAGGGTCATTATGAGTTGGAATCAACTACATGATGATGGATTTTTTTTTAATTTGTCAAGTTTGTTTTTAACAACTATTTAAGGAGAAACTGGTGGCACAGGAAGTGATAGACTTCTAATCAAAAAAGATCAGCAGTTTGAATCCATCAACTGCTCCACAGGCGAAATATGTGGTCATCTGCTTCCATAAAAATTGACAGCATCTAAAACCCTATTAAACAGGTCTACTATGTTCTATAGGGTCACTATGAGCTGTAATCGACAGTAATTTGTTCTGAATTCAGTTCTATTTAAAAGAGTAAAAGCTAGTGTATTTTATCTAATGACTTTTGAAGGACCATCTATTAAGATTATCATATAAGTTATCTTATTTGACCTATTATATAATTTATATATAGATTTCCTAAAACAATACAATTCTTCCTTTTTTCTGAAAAACTCTATTTTATCATATCTGATGACTCAATTAATTATTGCTTAAGGTAGTTTGTTAATGTTTACTCATTTTCTTTCATAATTTCATATTTTTGTACTTATTTTGTTGACAAAATAAGTTGGCTGTGTGGATCATAACAAACTTTGGATAACCTTGGGAAGAATGGGAAAGCCAGAAGACTTCATTGTGCTCCTGCAGAATCTGTCCATGGATCAAGAGGCAGCTGTGCCAAGAGAACAAGGGAATCATACTGCATGGTTTAAAATCAGGAAAGGTGTGTATCAGGGTTTCACCTTCTCACCATAATTTTTCAGAGAAAATTAGAAAAGGTGTAATCAGAGAAGCCTGGTTATGTGAAGAAGTATGTGGCATCAAGAATGGAAGGAGGTTTACTAACAACCTATGATACAACACAATTGACACAACCTTGCTAGTTGAAAAAGAAGAGGATTTGAAGTATTTGCTGATGAAGATCAAGGATTGCAGCCTTCCATTTAGATTACAACTCAATGTCAAAAAAAACAAAATCTCCCAAGTGGACCAATAGGTAACATCATGATACACGGAGAAAATTGGAAGTTGACAAAGATATTGTCTTGTTTGGATCCACAATCAATGCTCATGAAAGCAGCAGTCAGAAGATCAAAGGACTCATTGCACTGGGTAAATCTACTACACAAGACCTCTTTAACTGGTTGAAAAGCAAGGATATTACACTAAGGACTAAGTTGTGCCTGACCCAAGCCATGCTACTTTTTTTCAATAGCCTCATGTGCATTTAAAAGTTGGACGTTGAATAGGGAAGACTGAAGAAGAATCGATGCATTTGAATTATAGTGCTAGTGAAGAATATTGAAAGTACCATAGACCGCCAAAAGAACAAACAAATCTATCTTGGAAAAAGTACAGCAAGAATGCTCATTAGAAGCAAGGATGGTGAGACTTTATCTCACGTACCCCAGACATGTTATCAGGAGAGACCAGTCCCTGGAAAAGGACATTATGTTCAGAAAAAAACAGAGGAGCAGCTGAAAAAAGAGGAAGGCCCTCCCCAGAATGGATTGACATGCTGACTACCACCATGGGCTCAAACATAAGACCAATTGTGAGGCTGGCACAGGACCAGGTGGTGGCTCATTTCGTTGTATGTGGGGTTGCTGTGAGTCAGTGCTGTTGCTTTGTAGCAACAACATTTAAAGCAGTACTCATGTTTAAATTATAAGGAATATAATGGGTGACACAAGTGGGGCAATAAGAGTAGGAATTTATTAAATGGCACAAAACAACAGGCATAATAAAAAGCATGCAGTTAGATATGGGTTTAAAATAGTAGGGAGAGGTCAGAAATGGAGCTACAGATTTAGAATTTATGTTGATGTTATTAAATGAGCCCTTTAATTTAAATACAAAATATGATCCACTTGTAACCAATAAATCTCTATGCACTTCCTTATTGTGGAAGAAGCAATGACAAGAAAATATTTTTGTTTTTGTTTTT